GTTAGTCCTCAGCTGCAAACCCTTTCCCACACTGGTCAGGGCCTAGAGGGTCATGTTCTGCAGAAAGTCCCAGATCACCCAGCTGTTTCTCTGCTGTGCTCCTGCTCAGTAAGTCCAGCCAGCCAGGTGCTTCCCAGTGTTGGTAACTGGGGTAAGCCCTGCAGGGACAGGCACTCCTTGTGTGGGGCCATGTCCCTGGACAAACAGATGTGCCTGCCATACTGGAGAGGACGCACAGACATGAACCAGGCAACAGCTCCTGCGACAGCCCATCTGCCCCTGAGCACTCTCTTGTCCTCACCCTGTTCTCCCTCAGGCCACCTCTAACTTTCACTCTATGTTCTGACATATCAGGAGCAATCTCCTTGGCTGCAGTATGTAGAATGTCCCTTCTGCAGAAAGAGACAGCACCATCTTGAGGCTGTGGCTGCCCCAATCGGCCAGGTGACAGCGTTAGGAACAAAGGCCAGCATGCCCTGTTGCGGTCTTCCTCACTGAAAACGGATTTCACAAGGTGAAGAGTTAGGTAGGACCAGCCCAAGACATAGAAGGACACACAGGATGATGTGTGTCCTTCTATGTCCGCTGACGACTACCTTACTTAGAGAAGACTGAAAATACAAGTCATAAGTGCACAAACATCTGAGCAGTTAACTATTCAACATGCTGCAGTTATCAGGATGTGTCTCAGGGTCAGCACAAGAGCATCATGCTCAGGGTGCCGAATCCCAAAGGAAGCACCCACGTTACGTTTCTTTCCCTGTCCGGCACAGCTGGGATGGTTCCACTGCAGTCACTGCAATGCAAACCATGAGACAGAAACTCAAGATCACACAGTGTTGGATACTCCATCCACAGCAGGTCCTGTGAGACCCCAAAGCATCTCCAGGAACAGGGACTCCCAGTGGCGAATGACCCGTGGAAATTAGAGAGCACACCCAGTTTGACGCTTTGAAGGAAACATAAAGGTATCTGATAAACTTGGGAAGAATATTGTCAGACAGGCTCATTTTTGTTCGTGCTTTGACTCTTAGACCAGGGCAGGATTTCTCTAGAAGATGCCGTACTCACAGAGCTTATTCTCTGGTGGAACCTGCAGAATGAAGTGTTCCAATAATTAAAGCAACGGGAGGAGGGATTCCTCCCTAGAAGGAGAGCTGAGGGTCTGTGGAGATGCTTATCAAGTTGTACTGCTCACCCACCCGGCACTGGATGCACTGTGGTTACCCAGGGAGCAAAGCTGCAGACAAGTGGCTGTCTCCTTCCCTGTCCCCACCCTCCTGTGTCACCAGCCTCTGTGGCCAGGACCCCTCCACTTGGGCAGAGAATAGACCCCTGAGCACTTCTTATGTAGACAAAACACTGAATCCCAAAGTCCCGACAGTCACAGAAAAGAGAGACCAATATATTGGTGACTGGAATTGTAGGAAGAAAGGGTGCATGACCCCCACTCTATCAGCATGACGGGGTCCACAGCTCAGGAGAGTTAATGTCTCCATTTGCAATATTATTTAAGGCAAAAAGTCTGAAAAAGTTAAAGTAAGGTGGGGGTGGGTGGGGCAGGTGGAGCACATAACATAGGGCCTTGTGGAATAGGAAACCAGCCTCAAGGGATCATGGAGGGGTTAGGAAGGAACCCCAGTAGAAGCCCGTGGAAACCCGGGACACCGGAACCTAAAGCCAACACGACATTGAACTAGAGTAGGATAGTTATTTTGTTAGCTACACTCTTTTTCTCAGGAATTTATAGCATATTTTGAATAAAAATAATTAAACTAGGCAAATGTCTGGTTCAGTTGTAACATCTGCCTTTAGGCTGCCTTGAAATCCCACCCTCCAAGTCCTTCCACCCAAAGCTTCTCACTTCAGCTCATTATCAATTAATTCATGCCGTTTCCCATTGTCATTGCTCATTTCCCAGCTTGGAAAGTAGCTATTCACAATAGGATGAACCAAAAGAAAGGGCCTTGGTTTGGCACTGTTTGACCCTTAAAAAATTCATATGGTTCAAATTAATGCACACATTGATGCCTTCTTTAGTAACAAAAATAAACAACCCTGTCAAAACACTTTTAGGGGGCTGGCAATATAGCTCAGTTGGTAGAGTTCTTGCCTGGCATGTACAAGGCCCTGGGTTCAATCCCCAGCACCAAAAATAAAACAAAATACAATAAAAGTATTTTAGGCACAGTCTTCTCTTGCAAAATTAGCCACTTCCCAGATAAAGGCCTAACAAGTTGGAGACACTTTGGAGAGTGTATGTGGCTTCTGCTTCCTGCAGGGCTTGCAAATGAACTTAGGATCAGAAGTCAGTGGGTGTCAGAATACACGGGGAGTATAAAAATGAAGTCTTGAGAAACTGGGTGAGAAGTAGATTCCTTTTGACTGTTGTCTCTTGCTTTTTAATGTTCTCAGAAAACGGCTGTATCTTTCAGAGTCTCTCAAGGATTTTTAGATAAAAAGACAGGTTTTATCTTTGCATGTCTATAAGCAGTGGAAAACTCTGGAGACCAAAACCTACAGGCAATTCAAATAAACTAAATCCGATCAAGGTAATATCAATGCCAGAATTAGAAGAAAACCCAGAGAGAATATCAATAACAACATTAAAACAGCAGGTTTCAACTGGAATCAATAGGCAGAATAAACAGAAAAAATTAAGTCACAAAGTGCTAGTAGATAAAAGCTCCTCACTCATTAAAATTCTGTTTGTCTTTGAGTCTTTTTATCAATGTACCTATATATCTATGCAAGCGTATCAAAGTTTGTAATGTAAAAGAATGATGAAATAATCTAATTAACTTCCGGTGTCATTGTACATATTTCTTTCAAGTTAAAACTGCAATATTAATAATGGTTTGCAGTTTAATAAAATATCTTTATGTCCTATTAACTCATATATGAGCTTGTTATAAAAGCCACTTTCTATCAAATAGCTAAACTTCAAAAGGGTTTTGCTTTGATCAGAAAAAAAAAAAAATCAGGTTCATTGCATTTGTACTGAATAACCTCGCTGGGTTTTATAGAAAGGCACTTGTCCGTAGCCGCCGCTCTCATGAAAGATACTCCAACGGGCAAAAAGGGAAAAGATAGAACACGTTGAGGAAGCCACTGAGCAAGGGGAAGTGTGCTTTTGACTTGAGCAGGCAAAGGAGCCGGTCGGAGCAGGAGTCCCGGGAGAGGGGCTGCTCCAGCCTCCCAGGCGGACAGGTAGCAGCCCTGGGGCTGGAATTTCAGGAATGCCACCCTGACTGAAATCCCAGCCACAGCACTGGAGTGCCTCTCTTCTTTTTTTCTTTTAGGTCCTAAATTCTGGGCACTGATAAGTTTTGTTGGATTGGCAAGGAATTTCTAAAGAATTTAACTCAGTGGCCACAATATAAAAATGCTGCTCTGGAGAGGAAGGTGGGCCACCACCCCAGGCCTATGCCCAGGAGATTGGCTCAGCTCCTGTGTCCCTGCCCATCCCCAGATGAATCAGGATGGCCCCTCCCACGGGGCACCCAGGAGGTGCCGAGTAAATGCTGTTGAAAGAGTGTGCCCTTGTGGTCCGAGGGGTGTGCTGGGTCCTTTCTAAACCCACGAACTGTGATCTCTGCAGACACACACAGTCCCGCCCTGCTGAGGGGGGGATGCAGCCACTGCAGCTTTTTGCGTTGAAGAAAGGGACCCTCAGGAGGCAAGTGAGGCCTGCGCTTCCCTGAGACAAATCCTGACGCTGCCCTAGGAGGAGCCCGCAGGCAGCCCTGAGCCTCAGGAACGCCCCGTGCTGTGAGGGTGCCCAGGCAGGGCCTCCAGGCACACTCCTGGTCCTCTGGGTGCACAGCAGAAGCCCTGAGCTCTGAGACACCCCTGGCCCCTCTGCCATGGTGCCTGGGGCTCACCAGGGGCTTTCTTGGACCCTCGTGGGAACATGCTCAGCCCTTGATCTAAGAGAAGATTGAAGGCAGCAAAGCACCCTCCTCTGCCCAGATTCCAGTCTTGGGAGTCTACATCTCAGAGTCAGAGAAAGCCTGAGTCTAGAAAGCGACCTGGGAAGTGGTGTTGGGGAAGGCCTGTGGAGCCACGCAGGCCTGTCCGCTGCAGGGGACTCGTAGAGGCCCGAGGGAGTGGGCAGCCTTGCCTTCTCTCTGCACAGTCACAAGGCCTCACCGGCACTGAAGCTGAACTCCAGAGTCCAGCCCAGCAAACCTGAGCCCAGTGCTCAGCAGCAGGATTTCCTAGGACGTTCTGGGACATGAGCTCCAGGTGTTTCAGGAGAACCCTTCTATGTCCTGCAGAACCACTGGCCACCAACCACCATGCCCTGCAGTGACCTCTAGTATTTGTGGCAGATGATGATTCCAGAACTATCTGAAGTCCACACCACCTGGGTCCAGGGGAAGGAGCAGAATTTCCCAGTTCAGACAGACTCAGGGCCCGTTGACCTTTGCGTGAATCCTCATCTTGTGCCCCAAATAATATTAATAGTATTTTGTCCAACCTCTTTCTTGACATTATATTTCCTGTTACTCACTTTTATTCTGATGTTTCTTTCTAAAAATCTATAGCCATTGGTCACAGTCTCCAAAAGTCATCTTCAAAATGAAGGTTAGCTAAGGTTCAGCATAAAGGGAAAATGCTTCAGAGGAGAGACTTGGAATTTCCCTGATGTTATTATAGCAATGGTAGTTTGTATATATAATTCAGAAATAGTCTTTCATGGGCTGGGGATGTGGCTCAAGCGGTAGCACGCTTGCCTGGCATGTGTGCGGCCCGGGTTCGATCCTCAGCACCACATACAAACAAAGATGTTGTGTCCACCGAAAACTAAAAAATAAATATTAAAA